TGCACCCCAAACCCCTCATCCCCGGCCCCAACCCAGAGCCTCTGCTCCAGCCCGGAGCCCTTCCTGCACCCCAAACCCCTCATCCCCGGCCCCAACCCAGAGCCTCTGCTCCAGCCCGGAGCCCCTCCCACACCCCAAACCCCTCATCCCCAGCTCCATTGGGTCACAGGCATCAACAATTTTCTTCAACTGGATCGCCAGAAAAAAAGTTTGAAAACCACTGTGCTATGGCATACACAGGGTCTTAAGTCAGTGCTGCCTGGTTACTCTTTGAACAACCACCACCATTTCCATTAAATAGAAGGAGAGTTGAAAAGTCGCAGAAGCAAATTCATGGTTATTTTGTCCTCTGTGGCTCATTTGGCATAATACTAAGTGAAAGGGATGGGACAGAGTTTGCTCCTCCAGGTGATGTATTCCTCTTGCAGAATTTATAACGTGCTCTTTATCCAATGTGCCTGATTTCAGAAGAATAGATTGTTCTACCCTCTCTTCAAAATCCATCAAAATCTTCCCACCCAAAATATGAACAAATATTGTCAAAATATGAAGGACATGCCTAGGTCACTGGTAAAGATTTGCCTCCTGGTCATGCATAGCTAAGTAGTATTGTCTCCTAAGCTAAGTCCAAACCATATGGACTATAAAGTATGCAAAGAGAGAAATACAGAATCATCTCTGAATTCTGCTGGAAGGAAGAGTTGTAATGTCCAATGCATTTTAATGCACTGGTGCAAACAAGAGATCAGCCTACTAGACTAACCAGTTTTTAAAACAGTTTCCTTCTCCCCTTTGTGAAGCCCCATTCCGAAAATCCACTTCATTTGAGTACTAGTGTGGGATAGGCTTTGGCCAGTTTGTTCTGTTCATTCTTAAAGGAACACACTGAATAGCTAAAGAATGAATTGACTTCAGAGCCATCAGACTGAATTGCAAGTTGTTAATTCACCAGAACTTGGCTCTGAAATCAGTCACTGTTCCTTTAAATCACTTCTGCAGTCATGCAGGTGTCAGTTATCTGTGACTGTGGGGCAGGTGCAGGTTAACCTTTGTGTCAGACTGTGTGTGTCTTTGTCTCAACAGACTCCCTCCCTTCCTACACTGAACTGTACAGTTGAAAACGCACATCCCTCAGTGTCCTATTACTCAAGGCCACAGGTGACTTCTTACAACACTTACTACCACAGCACTCCTCATCTGCCACCATACTCAGCGTATGACTTCCAGGTACGGCACAACAGACAGTAGCATTAAATAGATAAGAATACCCTAGCCTTGGAACCATGAAGGTCTCTCTCTTCCCCAGAAGGCTACCTACACAGGGTGCTAGAACTTCCCAGCAAACTTAAACCTTGTTCTTGAGCCCTGTATTTAAGTTTCACTAAGGGCATGTCCAGACTGCAATCACAGAGTGGAGTAGACGTACCCAAGCTAGCTTTCATCTGGCTCCACAAGTAATTACCCAGAGTTCCAGGGGGGCTTGTACAGCCCATGATCAAGTGCACGCTGCCACAGCTTCACTAGATTAAAGCTAGCTCCAGTATGTCTGTGTGAGCTGCCACCACACCCAGTGATTTCAGTATAGACGTACCTTCAGGCAGTATAGCCGAGCCTCTGCCTGCAGGGAAATGTAACAAATTGTGCCTCTTTCAACCCTACTGTGACTCAAGGACCTCTTGATGCCCACGGGCAGAGGTCACAGGAGCACCCCGAGGTACAGAGATCCCCTGGGTCTGGTATCTACACTCTAGTCTGCCAAAGAAGGTCTCTAGTGAAGGCCTGCCACGCAAGTAATCATAATCATTGCAAGATGTATGTACGGAAAATATGTGAAGACTTTTGTGTATATATACTAAAAATTATGTTCTTTACGTCTGTGAGTTAAGGCGGGTCACCAGAAGTGGTCTATGTACTCCTGTCAGGCAAGGGGGAAGAGTCACTTATCTCAGTGTCATGGCTGGTCATGTTTAAATTGAGTATTGCACAGTTGGCAGTGGGCGACCATTGACTGAGCAACAGGCTAATCATTAGTATGTGGAGGCAGATGAACCTCTAGTGATTCCTTCAGGCTGTATGGAAAAGCCACCAGCAGGCTTGATCATATGAGAAGGGATCTCAGCTAAGCTAGTTTAAAACACTGGGGAAAGGACTTGGGGGTAAACTATTTTGTAGGAGATAGGGAAATGTCTAGTAAGTGAAGTTTAGGTTCTAGCCTTTGAGTTTGTTTTATGTGGAACCCTTTGTTTCTAATATTATTTGCCATCACTTGAATCTCTGTTCTTTGATGATAAACTTATTCTTGGTTTCACTACCTATCTATCTACTTGCTGTATGTTAAGAGGAGTGGTGAACCTGAGCTGGCTCTTGCAAGGTGAACTGTTCCTTTGGGAGTAGTGAGCCTGAGAGTTCTGCGATTGGACCAGGGATGAAGCACGCCAGAGGGATGCTCAGAGGATTCAGGGGTTGGAGTGTGCCTCTTGCTAACTTGTACAGAGACAGGGAGGCCTGGGGGGACCTGGAAGGCAAGGCTATTGCTGCCCGAGACTGGTGGTTTCAGAGAGCTGGTCCGCAGCAGGCACAGACAAGACTTCCTCATGCTAAGGCCAGGTGGTAGTGAGGTGCCTCCCAATGCTGGGTACCCCTGGGAAGTGTCACACGTGCCACATGCTGTTAAGGGCCAAGCCGAGAGGTCCCTCAGAATAGGTTGTATTAGAACTTCATAATATGATCCTGCATGGTCCTCTATGTCCCTTCCCTATGGCCGGAGTATCCTCTGGAGCTGTGCCAGGACTCGGAACATTTGTGCTGTTGGGTTTAACAAGTGGATCCTTATTTATGATTAGTATTTTGGTGGCTTTTTTTGATAATTTAAGAAAGAAGCTGCAATGTACGTTTCAAACCTTCCCTTGTCCTCAGTCTTCTCTATTTAGCAATAGCCCTCCAGGCTCTGTAGCCCCTCTGACGCTATCAGGTAACACTGACATCAGGAAGATTTTAAAGTGTTGAGTATTCCTAGGCTGAGGATTTTTAAGGCTTGTCACACACACATTCTGTACCAATTTCACTAGATCATTGCCACCCCGCGGACTGTGGACTTACACCGCTATGAAAGGGCTACCTCAGGATAGCTTATTCCTATACATTTACCAAACTAAACTATACTGACACGAACCTTTCTAAGGTGCTGTACTGATGAATGTGCTGTTCCTAAACTGGGAGAGTTTAATGGGTACAAAACCTGTGTGCAGACCAAAGGGAACATTTTCACAAACACTGGAGTCCCATTTTCAGAAGTGACTTGGACAGCGAGGAGACTCGGTCCCATTGATTTTCAATGAGACTTGAGCTCCTAAGTCACTAAGGGCCTTGGAAATTGTTCCCTCAGACTGTTCCAGTTTCTTATCATCTCTTTCTAGACCCTCCATAACTTTGCCTCTCCCAATTACCCATCTCTGTCTCTCAGTCCCCTTCTCCCCTGGTGGCAGCCTCAATGCCCGATTTGTCTGCATGTTCCATGAAATGTCTCTGCACCTTCTTCCACACTGCTCCCTCTGTGAGGCCACTCCCCTCTCCTCGTTAAATCCCTCCCGAAGGACTGCATGTCTTCTGCTACAAGCAGCTAGCCAATTAACTCTTCTGCACAGTCCCTCTATCACTTTGACCAGAAAACAAAGAAGCCAACATTTCTAATAAAGCCTGGAATAGAACCCAGGTCTCCTGACTCCGTCTCCTTCCCTAACCACTGGCAAACTCTCTCCAACTCTGTGCACATGTCATCAGCGTGGCTGAGCTGAGTCGTTGTTAGTTTTTAGGCACACAAACTTCTAGGGGTTGGGCTGAGATTATTTCATGCCAGGTGTGAGCCTAGACAGGCTTCTTGTGGTCCACGACAGTCCAATCACTTGAAACGAGCCATTTCCAATGGCAGTGGCAGTAGACCGTTGCCTCCCATCACATCTCAAGACTCCTAGGATCAAA